GCTTACCTTGTCCCTCTCCTCTGCATTATAATTGTCAGGAAAGATGGCTTTATTTTCTGAGTCTTCACTGATTTTTCTCTCCTCCAAATAAAACTGCCATTTAGCTTCAAAGTAAAACCAGTGCTCCTGGTATTCTAAACAAGAACAGGGGGAGTTGAACTCAAGGGCATCCAGCTGAGGAGTGGGGTGGGTGGGAACTGGGTGGGTGCAGGGAGGGAGGGGAGGCAGGCAATACCCTCCCCAGCTACTGCAGTCGCGTGCAGCCCCTGAGCACCTGCCCTGGAGAAATGACTTGGTGACTGTGCCAGAATTATGAAAATGCTGGCATGTGACCTTATTTCCCTGAACAAAACCCTAAGTGGGTCTGTAAGACCAAGTCAGACCTACATTTCCAGAGCCCGTGAGTCCAGGGGCGACCTGGGGCCTTGTCCCAGGACCGGTCTAGGCCCCTCCTGGCAGCCCTGTGGCCGGGAGTCGACAGCAGGTGCTCGGCCTCCGTCGGTCTCTCCGGGCCTCTGCAACCTCCAGCTGCCAGGAGGGGCCTGGACTCGTCCTGGGATGAGGTCCCCGGTAGCCCTGGCCCACTTAGGGGTCAGGGAAATAAGGTCAAAAGTGAAAGTCATGGAGGCAGAGGGCAGAGGTTGAAGGGTGAGGGTCCACGAACCCTGCGGGGACTGAGGCTCCCGACCCAGTCCAGCCGTGGCGTGATATGGACTCCCAGCCCTGCCTCTCCCCAAGCCACGGTTGGCCAGTCTGTGGAAGCAGATATCCTCACGGGCTACGGAGGAAGTTTGCTTGTGGCTGGTCCAGAGACCCCAGGGCAGGATCTCAGAGGGCCCTGTGGAATGGTTCTTTCTCTGCATGATTTTAGGTTCTGAAGCAAGGGTTCTGTGTCAAAGGAAATCATGCAGCTCCGAGCTGAGCACAACAGATTTACTTTCAGGTTTGTTCCTCAGAGCCTGGGCCCGGCCTGTGTGCCTTCGAGTCCCCAGGGGAAAGAACGAAGTTTCAGAACCGCCGACCGGCGACCTCTCCTGCCCTGGGACTCACGGCTCGTCCCACTTGGAGGAACACGGCTTTGGGTTTTGAGTCCTGGGACAGCATCCACTGCTGTGAGGTGAGCTCAGGGATGGCATCCTCCCATGCCCCAGTATCCTGCCCCTGTCTCTTCCAGGCGAGGTGAGGGGACCCCACCTGGGTTAGGGAGGCGCCTGGGCGCCCAGCCAGCCACCCCGGCCCCCATGCCGTGGACGCCTGAGCACCTGAGACAGAGGAGCCAAGAGGTGGTTACGGCCACACCAGTGAAAATAGCTCCAGTGTGGTGCTGGTAGCTGTGTTCCGCCACCAAGCTCCCTGGGGCAGCCTGGCTGACTGTGAGGCGACATGGACAAGCTACTCAAGGAGACACTGACTTTCCGTGAACACAGAGGTTCCTTGTTCCCAGGGGCCTCGTGGCTGAGTGTGGCCAGAGCTGCGTCCAGGCAGGCGTCCCCGCCCTCATTCCCGCAGAAAGAGGTGCTGGACACCCCACGGACACTCCAGCACCCAGGTGTCCCCTGGATTTTGGCTTCAGGAAGACCTCAGCCACAGGTGTCTTGAAAACAAGCAACCTCAACGCCCCGTTCCGGTCCTCCCTCCCCTCTGGGACACCACAGATAACTCCCTTTAGAAAAATCCCTCAGCCGGGCTCGGTGGCTCAGCCTGTCATCCCATGCCTTTGGGAGGCTGAGGGGAGTGGATTGTCTAAGCCCACGGGTTCGAGACCCGCCTGGGCAGCGAGACCTCATCTCTACAATAAATCAGAAAATCAGCCGGGCGTGGTAGCGCATGTCTGTAATTCCGGCTACTCGGAAGGCTGAGGCAGAAGGATCGCTGGAGCCCAGCAGGTCGAGGCTGCGGTGGCCGGGAGCGGCCACTGCACTCCAGTCTGGGCGACAGAGTGAGATTCCAACTCAAAAAAGAGAAAAGAAAGAAAAATCCCTCAACAGCCGAAGGCCACAGAGGCGCGGAGCTGCCTGCGTCCACTGGCAGCCCCTGCTCTTAGGGCTGACAGCCCCTCCCGTGGGGTGGAGAATGCGCTGGAGAGCCGCGGACTTCCCAGCCCTGTCCCTGCTGTCCCCACGTCCACTCTATCCCCCTGGGAGGGGTCGAGCTCTGGCGACCATCCGCCCAACTCTCGGAAGGAGGACTCCCTCTGGACCCGCGGTGGGGCTTCCTCACAGCCCAGCGCTGAGTTGCTGGTGACTCAGGCTCCGGGCATGATGTCCTGGGCAGGTGCAGGTCCCTGTCCCGGGGCAGAGACATACCCCTCCCAGGCCAGGCAGAGATAGACAGCCCCGGGGCAGGTGGCCTCCTGGCAGGCTGGCTCTGGCAGGGCCGGCCGGGGCTCCCTCGGTGCTCCCGGGGGGGATGGTGCCTCGGACTGGGCAGGGCCGGCTGCCCCGCTTGCATGTGAGTTGGCCACACTCTCCCGGGGCAGGGCGGGGTGGGGCAGACAGGACCGGGGGCGGGGCTCACCTGCCATGTGCCGGATGGTCTTCCGGCAATACTCCTCGGCCAGCGGCACCGTTCGCAGCATGTCCCGCCCCCACTGCACGGGCGGCTTCCCTTGGGCGGCGTACGACACGAACAGGGCCGTGCACAGGGACCCCAGGAAGCCTGGGGGGTGGGAGGGAGAGACGGCGCGTCACCCAGCGTGCAGCAGCTCTCGCAGGGCGTGGCCCTGCCCCGGGGGCGGGCGGCGCCCGTCATGGCAGACACCGAAGGTGACCCTGAGCCCGAACAGCAGTAGCCGCGGGCCGAGCCCGGGACGGGGTGGTGTGTGTTGGCCGGCCCGGCTGGGACTCGGGGCTGACGACAGATGGAGACCCGTGAGCCGCTTTTGCCTCTTTGCGACGAGAGCCCCGTGGGCACCTCCTCCTGGCCTTTCTGGGCCCAGCCGGTGGCCGGGCGTTGCGGCCTCCCGCCAGCCGTCCTGAGCCCGTTTCCCTTTGCGGGCTGTGGGGAGGACAGAGGCAGAGAGCCACCGGCCCCCCTCGCCGGCCACGTGGAGGCGCTCGTCAGGGGGTGTCCGGCCGGAGATTGGTGAGCCCGGAGGTGGAGACCAGCCTGGGCAGCCTAGCGAGACCCCGTCTCCAAAAAGCCTCCCCAGCCAAACGAAAACCCGGCGTGAGTTTTCTCTCTGCCCAACTTCTTCCCTCTCCACCACGTGAATGACTAATCCCGCTTTAAGGTTGAAAACAGAACCTGGCAAAGCTGAAGATTAAACACACCCACGCCAGCAGGTAAGCCACTCCAAGTGCCCACACGCTCGCCGGAGGCGACGCGGTCGGGCCCCGGCAGGGCCATGCGCGTCCACGCCTCGTACCTGTGGGGTGGTTGTGGGTCATCCTGCCGCACTCGATGCTGACCTCGATGAGGGTCTCCAGCCGCGCGGGTTTCCAGTAGCGCAGGCCGATGCACATGGCTTTTGTGGCCGCGCCGAATCCCGACCCTGTGTGGAAGGAAAATGCCAGAGTTTAGACTTTTGCCCCATTCCATCTCTGACAACATGACATTTGCGATAAGTTTTGTTTTGTCGGACGGAGTCTCCCTCTGTCATCCAGGCTGGAGGGCAGGGGCACGCTCACGGCCACCGCAGCCTCAACCTGCTGTGATCAGGTGATCCTTCCGCCTCAGACTTCCAAGTAGCTGGAACCTCAGGCATGTGCCACCATGCTCAGCTAAATTTTTTTTTTTTTGATTTATGGTAGGGATAAGGTCTCGCCAAGTTGCCCAGGCTGGTCCCAAACCCGATGGCTCAGGCAATCCTCTCACCTCTGACTACCAAAGTGCTGGGATTACGGGTGTGAGCCGCCACGCCCAGCTTCCGTCTTTCTTACCTCTAACCTATCGGCGTCATTCTAGCTGAAGCGCATTTCTCGTGAGCAGCATGCAGGTGGGACGTGCTTCCGTATCTAGTCTGACAGCCCCGCCTGTCTGTGGGGCCCTCGGCCTCTTCGCATGTGACATCACCGTCGCTGTGGCTGAGACGGCCTCTCGCCTTCTGGTTTGCGTCTTCCTGTGTGTTCCCCTGGTTATCGGTGCCCCTCCCTCTTTCATGCTGCTTCTGGTTGACGGTTTTTATTTTGTTTTGCCTTTTGGTTTTTTTTTTTGAGTTGCAGTCTCACTCAGTGGCCCAGACTAGAGTGCAGTGGCCGCTCCCAGCCACTTCGGCCTCGACCTGCTGGGCTCCGGCGATCCTCCCGCCTCGGCCTTCCGAGTGGCTGGAACTACAGGTGCACGTTGCCACACCCGGCTAACTTTTTTTATTTATTGTAGAGATGAGGTCTCGCCAAGTTGCCCAGGTGGGTCTCGAACCCGCGGGCTTAGGCAATTCACTCACCTCAGCCTCCCAAAGTGCGGGATTACGGGCTGAGCCACCGAGCCCGGCTAGTTGACGGTTTTTAAATGATTGTGCTTCGTCTGCCTTGTTGGCTGGCGAGTGGTGACTGTCCTGGTCCTTGGGGGCCTCTCTAGGGTGCACGGAGTCCATCTGGGGCTCACCACAGTCACCACCGTGTGACGTCACACCACCTCCCGCATACTGGAGTCTCATGGTCCTACATGTCCACCTCTCTCCCTCTGGGCCCTGATACTGCGGTCACGCACTGTGCTTACGACACATGGCTGTCACACGCTGACGTCCTGACCTCCCGGGGTGTTCACATGACAGCACCAGAGGCCTTCCCTGTCGCCCGCAGGGCCTCATCGCAGCTCCTGGTCCCGGAGGAACCTGCATTTGCCTCGGAGGCTGTTTTCCTTCTGCCCCGTGGTGCCCGTCAGCCATTCCTGTAGTGACTCTGCTGGTGGCCAGTTCCTCCAGCTTCCGTCTGACTGGAGACGGCGACTGAGCCTTGATTTCCGACAGATCTTTTCTCTGGGAGCAGAGCTCCGGGCCGGAGTGGGCTCTTCCGGGCCTTGGGGCGTGGCGCCCCGTCTCGTGTGTACATTCCTTCGGCAGGAGGGCTGCTGTCGCCCTGGGCTCGCGGCCCTGCTGTGACGTGCGTTTTCCCGCCAGCTGCTTTTGCAAGGCTCTCTTTAGTGTCTGCACTGAGCAGCTTGGCTACTCTGTGCCTTGGTGCCATCTTCCTCAGGCTTCTGGCGCCTCCTTGGATCTATGAGTTAAGCGTGTTCATCGAGTCCGAAGCGTCTGTGTGCGACTTCTCTGAGGGTTGTTGCTGCCGTCCCACTCGCCTTGGGGATCCGGAGACACCGGGGAGGTGGCTCTTTGCCGGCCAAGGTCAGCGGGCGTCCATCACATGTCAGATTCCTTCTGTTTCTGTTTTCCTTCCTTTTTTTGAGTTGGAGCTCTCATCCTGTTTCCCAGGCCAGAGTGCAGTGGCACCCTCACAGCTACCACAGCCTCAACCTGCTGGACTCAGGTGATCCTTCTGCCTCAGCCTTCCACGTAGTTGGAACGACAGGCATGCACCACTACACCCAGCTAATTTGTTGGCTTATTGTAGAGATGAAGTCTTGCCAAGTTGCCCAGGCTGGTCTCGAACCCATGGGCGCCAGCAATCCTCTCACCTCGGTCTCCCAAAGTGCTGGGATTGTAGGCGTGAGCCACCATGCCCAGCCTTGAATAGTTGCTACTGCTCCACCTTTTGATTCACAAGTCTTGTCTTTGCGATGTCTAATCGGCTGCTACTCTCAGCTGGTGCAGTTTTCAGCTCAGACACTCTAGCTTTTGCCTCCGGGGAGGTGGTTCGGGTCTCTCGCGCCTTCCGCACCTCCTGTACCTTCCTGGACGCACGCAGCACCCGCTGTCTTCCGTCCCCACTGCTGATTCCAGCATCCGAGTCGGGTCTCCGCGGCTGCGCTGGCCTGGCCCCACGGACCGCACTTCCTGCTTCCTTCGTGCCGGCGACAGCGACTGAGCGCCAGGCCTGGCGGGTGCTGCTTTGTTGAGTCCTGGACACGTTTGTTCTCCTGGAAGTGTTTTTGAGCTTTGTAGGGGGTGCAGTTAATTTACCTGGAGATCGTTTGCCCTCGGGGTCTTGCCCTGGGAGGCCCAGCACAGAGGTTGATGTCCTGGGAGCACAGCATGGCCCTTCTGAACATGCTCCTGGCCGGTCCCTGTGAGCCAGGAGGCTCACAGGCAGCCTGGGAGGAACAGGACGTGGCTCCTCTGACCCTCTGGGTACCTTCCCCAGCCTCGGCGGCTTCCTTACCAGCCTGGCTTCCATGGCCCTCTCCTCTGTACTGTGGACGCCTCCTGCCTCAGTCTCCCTGGACTCCCAGCTCCGTCTCCTCACCTGGGCCGGCTCACGGCCTCAGTGCCCGTCCCTGCACCATGGTGACTTGGGAATGCTCTCGAGGTGGTAAGTTGTAAGCAGGGCTCATAGCTTGGGGGCCGCTATCACTCGTTGCCTGACGTCCAGTGTCTTTTTTTTATTTTTTGAGTTGGAGTCTCACTCTGTCGCTCGGACTGGAGTGCAGTGGCTGCTCCCGGCCTCCGCAGCCTCACCTGCTGGGCTCCGGCGATCCTTCTGCCTCAGCCTTCCGAGTACCTGGAACTACAGGCGCGCGCTACCACGCCCGGCTCCTTTTTTATTTATTGTAGAGATGAGGTCTCGCCAAGTTGCCCAGGTGGGTCTTGAACCTGCGGGCTCAGGCAATCCGCTCACCTTGGCCTCCCAAAGTGCTGGGATGACAGGCTGAGCCACCGAGCCCGGCCCCAGTGTCTTAAACACCAGCATCTCCCACATTTCGTCTGTTCTCCAGGTCCTGTCACTCCATTTGACAAGCGTGAGCGTGTGTGGATATACTCGCCACCACGTCTGCACAGAAAGATGGAGACACCAGAATCCGTAGCGAGAGGCTCACGGCGGTCACGTCTGGTGCCTTTAGGGGCTGCGTCTCCGTTACACACTGCTGCATCCTCCAGAGTTTCTAGAGCGAAGGTGTGCCATTTTTGGAGTGGCCATAGTGTTGTTTTAGAAAGTGCTCTTCTGGCAGAAAGCCATGTCCCTTTTCTCTCCTGAGCCCACCATCCAACTCACTCCATGCTGAGTTTGAGATGGGCTTGGGCCGCTCTGGAATGAGACTCCGGAGCCCTGTGGATGCAGGGCTGCTGGGTTCCAGCCACATGGCCGAGACCTGTAGGGCCAGGAGGCCTGGGCTTCGGTTCCACCCGCCCCCGATGTGTGTCCAGCTGTGTGCACGGCGCCGAGCCCACGAATCTCCACCTGCAGAGTAAGTCACTTCCCGAAAACACTTTCAAGGAGCACTTACTATGTGCCAAGCATGGGACACGTGCCGGAGGGGAAGATGGGAGAACACGGACCCGGGCCTTGCGACTGCGTACTCAGTGCTGGGTGGATGTCCAGGCCAGCGCTGCGGTCTTAAGTGCCCCGACACGCGCGGGTGGCTTCGGAGACGTGGCAAAGCGACGCAGACGCAAGCTAGTCTCGACCCTTAGGACCTGGCTCGACCCCAGCTCTCCACCTTCTGTCCGTCGTGTTACGGTCCGCAAGTTGCCCCTATGGTCTCAGCTCCAGTTTCCCCGGAAGAGGACTCCGGAGAAGGCCCTCCTGATTCTCACGGAATCGTCTGCTCGAGAGGCCGGCTGCCCGGGTCGGGTCCCAGTTCCTCCTGTGGCTTCGTGGGGCCTCAGCGAGTTACTTGGGCTCCGTGGGTGTCGGGTGGGGACAGCAGCAGACCCACCGCGCGGGGCGGAGGCACGAGGTGAGGGAGGCCGTGCAGAGGCTCGCACGTGGCAGGACCTGTCAGCGCGGCACTGGGCCACGAGGGTGATCTCGGGAAAGTCGTTCTCATCCTCAAGCCTGGGTTGACTTTCATGGGAGACGGGGACAGTGACACCAGCTCCAACGTCAACATTATTGTGGGGACGGGAAACTCCAGCTGCTTTTAAGTGATGCTGAGTTACTGTTATTTATGGCATGTCACCTTTCCTCCGTGTGTCCTTCCCAAGTCCTTGGTGTCCATTGACAGGACCCACGATGACTCATCAGGAGGGAAGCAGCACAGGCTGAGGAAGGGTCACTTGGAGTCCCCACGCGCCCCTCTACAAGGGATGCGTCCAGGCAGGAGGAAGGCGGCCAGGCGGCTCAGGGATCGAGCCCACGTTTCACAGGGAAGCCTGGGCGTGTCGGCTTCGCCTAGTGCCCAGCCTGGAGAAGCCGTGGCGTGGGCGACGGCTGGACTCGACCTCCTGGGCCCAAGCAGCGGCCTCCTGCCTTGGCCTCAGACCTCTGCTTTGGGGCTGTGTGTGGAGGAGGGATTCTCCCCAGCTTCCCACTTCCTCCTGCTACCGGTGACGAGAGTCCCAGCTTGACAGACACAAGGTTCACAGCTGAACACGCGTCAGGCGGGGAACTGGGCAGGGCCCACACACCCTCTCTCCTGGGTGGGAGGCCCCACATGGCACCAGGAGGTCACAGTAGAGACCACGACAGTGCCAAAGGCAGCTTTCGATGCGACGCTAAAAATCCGTGCCCGATCCAGAAACACAATGACACTGCAATGCACAAAAGCCAGAGCACAGAAAAATAAAAACGCGTATGTGAATAAGGTGGTAAGATCATGTGACAAAAAGGTCAGGCCAAAAGGAAACTTTAACATGGACTGAATGCTTGATGATGTCAAAATGTTATCAGTTTTTAAGATAGGATTAAGTTGTGGTTATTTTGTTATTGTTTGAGTCAGGGTCTCACTCTGTCGCCCAGGCTGGAGTGCAGGGGCACAAACACAGCCCCTGCAGCCTTGACCTCCTGGGCTCAGGCGATCCTTTCACCTCAGCCTCCTGCGAAGCTGAGATTACAGGCATGAGTCACCACGCCCAACTAGTATTTTTATTTTTTTGGTAGCAACGAGATCTTTCTATGTTGCCCAGGCTGGTTTTGAAATCTTGGGCTCAAGCAATCCTCCCACCAAAGCCTCCTGAAGAGCTGGGACTACGGGTGCCTGCCAACACCCCCAGGCAATTTTTTGATTTTTCTGTAGAGGTGAGACTTGCTGTGTTGCCCAGGTTGGTCTCGAAATCTTGGGCTCAAGTCATCCTCCCTCCTCAGCCTCCCAAAGTGCTGGGATGACAGGTGCAGCCACCACGCCCGGCTGATATTTTTAAAGGGCCGTCTTGTCTCCTAGTGACCCCGGTGGCGATGTTTGTGGTGGATGGATGTGATGTCTGGGTTACCTCAGATCAGCCTGGGCCCAGCAGGGAGCGGCACACGGACTCGACCGGCCTGGCTCCCATCCCCGGGTGGCCGGGAGGTGGACGTGCCCTTCTGCCACCCCAGATGGCACGGCGAGCGCAGAGACTCCTCTCTGTGCTTGCGCGTGCTTGCATTTTCCGCACTCCAACGTGCCCCCAAATTAAAATCTTGTGAAGAATGCCATCCGGATTGCAGACATTAAGGTATGACGGCGGTCGGAAGCGCGAGTGAGCTAAGCAAGCGGAGAAGCGCGAGCGTCAGCCCGCCTGACGCCGGCGAGCGGCTTCCGTGTGTGACAGGGGCTGGCCCACTGCAAAGGCCGGCCCGCTCAGCATGGCGTACGCGGCGGGCCAGGGCTCCAGCCTGGAATTCCACACAGAGTGGGGCTGAGCCCGGCAGCCAGGCGGCCTCGCCGCCCGTGGGGGTGAGCGCGGAGGGCAGGACCCCACCCCCAGGACGAGCACCGCGGACGCGGGCGGGGCGGGACGGGCGAGAGCGCGGCCCTTTGAGACGAGCGCACGCAGGAGCGGAGGCTCTCTGGAGGCGGAGACCCAGGCCCCGGAGCCCTGCCCCCCGCGGCGCAGCCAGGCAAGCAGAGACACTGGCGGGGCAGTGCGTGTGCCCCTGAAGTGCTGGCACAAAGACTGAAAGGGAGACCGTCCTTAAGACAGACCAGGCACGGAATGACAAAACGCCGCGGGAGGCAGGGCCACACCGATGGGCGCTGATCGGATGCCGCAGCAGGGCTGGCCCGGAGGGGTCCACGCCCCGTGACAGGAACCCTGGCCACCATCGGCTCACGCGGGCCACGGCAGGGCCGGCCCGGGAGACACACGCCCCAGGCAGGAACCCGGCCACTGTCAACTTGCATGGACCTCGGCAGGGCCGGCCCGGGAGACGACACGGCCCAGGCAGGAGCCCTGGCCACCGAGTCATCCCCCGTGCTGGCGACCTGACGGGCAGGCTGGTGCCCACGGGGTCCCCGAAGGCAGTTTACGGGGGGAAGAAAGGCTGTGCCTGACCCTTTTCGTTGAAGGGCGTGTGCCAGGCCAGCAGGTAGTTATCGGGCTTCAGCTGGGAGCAGCCTTCCACGGTCGCGGGGTCCGGCCGGCGTTCTGGAAGCTTCTCGATGACCTCCACGTAGCACCTCACCATCTCCCGGTACAGGTCGTCCAGGCACCAGTAGTCTGGGGAGAAAGGGAGGCAGATGTCAGAGCGACCGGGCGGCGAGGCCTCCCCCGGCCGGACAGACTCAGGGGACAGGGGACAGGGGCGGCGGGAGGAGGCAGGCCAGGCAGGGAGCGGGAGGACACCGGCACACGGCCTGGGCCACCTGGGAACCCGACGCCGGACAGCGGGCACTTCCGACTTCTTTGCCACCTCAGACATCACGGTTCTCAACATTGTGGAGAGACAGGGTCTCCCGCTCGCCCAGGCTGGAGTGCAGCCATCACGGCTCACCGCAGCCTCGACTTCCTGGGCTCAGGAGATCCTCCCACTTCCGCCTCCCAAAGTGCTCTGATGTCGGGCATGATGAGCCATGGCACCCAGCAGGTTTGTGGCTACAATTTTCGTGACTTGTGGGAATCTAGAAGAACGCAGGCTCCTCACTCATTCTACCCACGTGAGAGTGAGCTGGACAGCCCACTGGGCTGTGTGGAGACGCTGGGCGACTCTCCCACCCCAGCTCCGGGAAACCTGTGTGCACAGGGACGGCGACGTCACATGGGACAAGTGCCACGAATGGCATTCTGGGGGCGAGTGTGGGCTCGAATCCTCAGAGACCCTGGGGCCCGAGCACAGACGGAGCTGCAGACCCCAGACGTTCGCCCTCGACAGCCTGCTCCGCGGACGGCCCATGGGACCCCACAGCCATGCCAGTTCCCCACACAAGGCTCAGTGAGGCTTGCAGACACACATGTGCTGCCCAGGGCCAGGCCCAGGGCCAGTGCCGGTAAAGGCAGTTTTTGCTTTTGTGAGACAGGGTCTCGCTGTCACCCTGGTGTGATCATGGCTCACTGCAGCCTCAAACTCCTGGGCTCAGGTGATCCTCCCACCTCTGCCTCCCGAGAGGCTGGGACTACAAGGGCCATTATCCTCAGGTGATTTTCAAATTTTGCAGTTTTTGCACAGATGAGTCTCGCTACGTTGCTCCCGGCCTCAAGCGATCCTCCCTCCCCGGCCTCCCAAAGTGCTGGGACACAGGCATGAGCCACTGTGTCCAGTCCTGTAGCTGCAAAGCCTGAGCGGTTCTGTGGTTAAGTGACCTCGAGCATGGAGGAGACAGTCCACACAGCCTTTAAAATCGGGGTCTGGGTACCTGGCCATGCCAGGACAGGCTATGACAGGCGGGGCGTAACTCCGGTGAGGTGGGTGAGGGGGCCTCCTCGGGGCCTCTTAACCCCCCAAGTCACTTTTATTCTGAAGTCACTTTCAAGGCTTGTGGGCCACCCTGGGAGACCCTCTGCCCATGCTGCCTTGGGGTGTGCCCCCACTTTGGGATGGGGGAGGAGGCCTGGCCCAGCTTTCCTGGGGCAGGCAGGCCCTGGGAACCCAGAGGCCTTTCACCGGCTGGCCGGAGCCCTCCAGCCACACGGTCAGGAGTCAAGTGTGGGGCCTGGAGACCGGGCCCGTGGCAAACACCAGAGAGAGGGCGGGTGACAAGGACAGTGTGATGCCCCTCACGTCCCCGACCCGCTCGGCAGGGACTGACAAGCCCGGCCGTCCTGGGAGGCGTGGTCCCCGCTGACCCACCCGGTACTGTCCCACGCACGGAGCCATCCTGGTCTGAGTGGGGTGGGGAGGACGCGGGAGACCTGGGCCCGTGATCCTCGTGGGAGGGGTTGGCTTGTCAGTCACCCCCGTTGGGTGACCCGCACTTGCCCCGCCCAGCCTTCTGGGGCTGCCACGTGCCGGCCCGCAGACCCCCACCTTCAGCGCCCAGAGGCCAAACTCAGCCCTCCATGAGCAAGCTGGCCTCCCGGGTCCCAGAGCAATTCACTTCCTCTGGGGCCAGAGACTAGAGCGTAACTGGAAGCAGGCTTGGGCCGAGGAGCCACGCTCCACCGCCCCAGGGTCGCTCTGCCAGGGGGCTGCCCGGCTCGCCCTGCCCCCACCCCAGCGACAGGGCAGTGAGGAAGCTGCCGCCGGCTCCCAGCGGACGCCACACCAAGGAGAAGACAGGCACGGTGGCTCAGGCCCGTAATCCCAGGCTTTGGGAGGCTGAGGTGGGAGGATCCCTGGAGGCCAGGAGTTTGTGACCAGCCTGGGCCACATAGCCAGGCCCCGCCTCTATCTTTGAGGAGGTAGAAAAGGCAGATCACCAGTCAGGCGGCTCGTGGCAGGCTCAGCTGCCCCGAGGGTCCCTGCCCCATGCAGAGCCCTGCGTGCCATGATGGGGCCACGGAGTGGGCGGGGGACAGGCCGGGACACGTGACCCTACGGCTGGCACACCCCGTCCTCTCTGCCGGGACAGCGCCATGGGCGGCTTGATGCCGCAGCTGCACCAGACGAGCCCCTCCAGTGTGCGCCTGTTGGTGCCTCTGCACGCCCGACAGGGTCGCCCCGTGTCATTCCCACGGAGCCTGAGAGAGGGAGGCTCAGAGGGAGAGCCGCTTCCCGGCTCCTCAGCGGGCAGGTGGGGGCACAGCGGGCACAGCCGGCACACAGCCCAGGTGAGGCCAGGCTCCAAGATGGGCCATGCCCTCCCAAGACTGGCACAGGCACGCCCACTGGATGCCTGCTGAGTGACTTCATGACAGTGCACTAGGCATGAACGCCTGGCTCACAAATCTATGTACGTCGGTGCACTCGTATCTTGGAGAATGTCGGGCTGTCACTCCTGGCCACCATCTGCTCCTGCGCCCAGTTCCCAGACACACCTAGAGGCAGGACACCGGCAGCCTCGCCGGGCCACGGGGTCAAGTGCACTCCGGGAGCAGAGCCCGCAGCCCGTAGGGCAGGGACCCATGAGTGAAGATGTGTTCCACTCTCACAGCCTGCCTGTGGCCAAACGCGTGGAGGGCCTCACCCGCCCCATGGCCGAAGCCCTCGTGGCAAACAGCGGCGCCAGGCGGGCGGGGCGTAAGGGCACAGGCTCCGGCCAGACTGTGGCTCCCGTCCAAGCTCAGCCACTCCGTGGCTGCGTGGCCTGGGCCGTGCCCCAGCCTCTGCCCAAGTTCCTCATCCTGTGCAGTTCCCCCGGGGGCAGGTGTGTGGACGGCGGGGACAGGTGGAGGACAGGCAATGTGGGGGACAGGTGTGTGGATGGCGGGCGGGAGGCAGTGCCTGGCATGGAACCGGGTGTGGCGGGGTCCCTCGTGTGGTGAGCACGGCTCACGGAGCCCCTGTAGGGCACGCTTGCTGTCTGAAGGGGAAGCCCCGAACGACGAGGCCCAGCTTCAGTCCCCGTGAGGTGAGGACACGTTCACCCCGCTCGGGTCTGCGTCATCCTGACTGACCCCCACGCTGGTGGCCACGGTGGGCACCAACACGCTCGCTTCTGCCCCCACGTCTCACACCTGGCTCACTGCCTCCTTAGGGACAGGCCAAGCTGCTCGCCATCCCTTCAAAGATGTCGCCCAACCTCAGACGGGCGTGGCCATCCTCCCTGCTTGGTGCATCCAGTGCCAGGTGTCTCTATGTTGGGTCCCTCCCATGCTGGGTCCCTCTGGTGTTGGGCTCTCCCCGTGTCGGCTCCTCCCATGTTGGTTCCTCTCATGCTGGGGCCCCCGTGTTGGGTTCTTCCTGTGTTGGGTGCCCCCAAGTCGGTTCCTCCTGTGTTTGGTCCCTCCCCTGCTGGGTCCCCTCCCGAGGCGAGTCTCCTTCCGGGGGCCACACAGATCCAGCCCCACACCGCGGACGCTGCCATTCACAAAACACCTCCTCAGTGCTAACGGAGACCAGGACACTTGCAGGATTTGTGGACGTGGGCACCCTTGTGCACACAGCATCACATAAGCAAAGGAAGCCAGGTTCAGGAGTGAGCACCAACTGTGTACGGTTCACGTGAGCCAGAGCTCTGTCCTGTGCTGGCCACAGGCTCCTGCAGGGTAGCTGGGCGCCCCTCGCCATCACGGCTCAGAGAGGCACCGAGCCAGAGCCAGGAGCTGTGTAGACCCACGCCGTGTGGACGCGGCGCCTCCCGCTGTCAGCGAGCTGTTGGCTTTATCTTATCGCCGGAGCTCGGCTCTGTCCCTGGTTATTTAAGGACCGACCACAAAGCTGGAGCATGCCTGCACCATGACCGCAGAGCTAAAGCGGGCACGGCAGGCGGGGCGGATGAGGGGCTCGCGGGGAACCTCGCCGACGGCGCTGCTGTCCCCAGACTGAGCCCTGCCTTGAGAGTCCAGACCTATGGACTTTGGAGCTCAGGCAGCGTGGAACAGCTGCCCTCCGAGTTCAGCCCCCGGCCGTTCCCCTGAAACTCATGCAGAACCTCGACCCCAAAACCGATTTACTGCTTAAAGGGCATTTTAAGAAAGTCTGTCCGACCACCCGATCAATTTCGCGGCACTTCCTAGAGCTCGTTAGTCCAAGCTGACCCACGGGGCGGATGATACGCCCGCCTTAACTCCCTGGAACTTAGAAGCCGTCACCGAACGGGACTGGCTAGATGGGTCCACATTTCCAGCTGGCTAATCATCTTATTCCCCTTTGAAATCAGTTTGGGATGATCAGCCTTGATCTCTGCAGACAATAGCCGCGCCCTCGCCTGCCTCCCCGACGGCCCAGGAGCGAGCGCTCAGAGGCAGAAGGCGCCAGGCTGAGCGGACGCTGTCCAGAGACAAGTGAGAAGTCGCCGTGTAAACACGGGATCATAATTATCTGCAAAGCAGAGTAACGCGGTCGCCCGGAGACACTGAGCCGAGCATCAGGTGGCATCGGGTGACAACGCCAGCTGGGAGTCGCTGCCTTCAAAGCCCTGGGCTCGTGGGACGCAGCGGCCCCCTCCCCGGCAGGGCGGTCGCCTACCTGTGGTGAGGGCCCGGGCCGTGGCCATGTGCATGACGGTGTTGTCACTGACCGGCCACGCGTCCGCCGACAGCACCAGGCGGTCCAGGCCCCCGGAGCGCCGCAGCTCCTCCCGGACGCCTGCGCCCGGTGCACCGTTCTCCGCGCAGAGGTTCCTGTAGCCGAGCGCGTCGCCGGCGGCCGCCAGCAGCATCGCGGCCTGGAAGCGCTCCATGGCTCGGCGGCCCCTGCCTCCTCCCCTCTGGGCTGCGGCCTCCTTCCCTCCCGGGCTGCCTGAGCGCGCTGGCTTTTATAGAGGCCATTGTGCAGCTGCCGCGTCCTGCCAGGCGCCCCTTGTCTGTCTCCACAGGTGGCACCAATGAGAGGAGCCCTCTGTCCCCCACGTGGGCGGTGTCGGCTTCCCGGCGTCTGGCAGGCTCTGGCCTCCCTACAGGCCCCGGGCCTCCCTTGGCAGAGCAAGCCCCCTCTTGCCGCCCCTTGCAGGAGCGGGCAGCTGCCCGGGGTCGGCGGCGTGTGCCCGCATGTGCAGGCGTGCCACCCGCTGCCCGCACCAGGGCATGTCCGCCGCCCAGGTCCCTCCCCATTGACTGCAGCCCCGCGGTCCCCAGGCAACAACCCGTTAGCTTTGTCTCCCCAGTTTTGCCCTTTCTTGGAACTTCCAGCACATGCCTCCCACTGTCTTGCTGTTTACTAAAAAAGCTTTTCCAGACACGTCAGTGCAACGTGCGGCCTTTTGTGTCTGGCTTCTTTCACTCAGCATCATGCTGAGAGACACAAGGTTGATCTGTAGTGGTTTTAGAAAACTTTTTGAGTCGGGGTCTCACTCCTCGCCCGGGCTAGAGTGCAGGGGGATGGTCACAGTTCAACAGCCTTGACCTCCTGGGCCATCCTTCCACCTCAGCCTCCTGAGTAGCAGGGATTACAGGTGCACTCCACCACACCTGGCTAATCTCTTTGATTTTTTTTGTAGAGTTGAGGTCTCTCTATTGCTCAGGCTGGTCTCAAACTCCTGGGCTCAAGAGATCCTCCTGCCTCAGCCTCCCAAATGCTGGGATTACAAACCCGAGCCACCGTGCCTGGGCTAGAAAGCTTTTCTTCCTGATTATAAAATGTGTTTATGAGGAAAACTTAGAAATTCAGCATAAAGGAAAAAGCACATCGAGCTCCTGTGTGAAAGATGATGTCTTCTCACCACTCAGTGCTTAGTGAGAGTCTCTCCGACTTGCGTGGCTCTGGAGTGCAATGCGGCGAACGTGTCAGCGGAGCGCAAAGCCTCGCGAGGAGGCTACTGTAATGCCAGCCTTCAGTTCCATGAATGCTAACCTCCCTGCCAGTTTATGAAGGGGGGTTTGCCCCCAGGGAGAGGCGGGGTGAGGCCGAGTGTGAGAGCCAGGGCTCTTCACTTGAGACCAGCTTGGAAAACAGTCTGTTTTGCGACCCCACCGACAGCAGGCCTCGCCGTGGCCAGGGAGCTGGGGGCTGCATGTCTCCCTCCCAGCCCTGGGGACCCAGCTTGTGCCAGACCCCGGAGGAGCCAGAGGGAGTGACACCTGGGCCTCGGAAGCTCTTCTGGTGGAAATAAAATGGCTTTGAGTACACCACATTTAAGTAAACGTACAGTATTATGTCAGCTGGTAAAATCGAGGCTCTGAGTTCACTCCAGCTGGCACAACTCTGGGATTCTGAAACAAACAGTCCTTCAAAAGCAGGACGTCTTGGCCAGGCACAGCGGCTGGGTCTATAATCCCAGCACTTTAGGAGTCCGAGGCAGGAGGATCACTTGAGCCCAGAGTTTGAGACCAGCCTGATGTGAGTAACCCTGTCTTTTGTAGCGACACCTCATCTCTACAAAAATTAAAAAAAAAATCAGCTGGGTGTGGCGGCACACACCTGTAGTCCCAGATACTTGGGAGGCTGATGTGGGAGGACTGCATCAGCCTAGGAAGTCAAGGCTGCGGTGAGCCATGACCGTGCCACTGTGCTCCAGCCTGGGCGACAGAGTGAGAGCCTGTCTCCAAAAAAAGAAAAAGAAAAGAAAGAGAAAAAGTAAAGAAGCAAAGCAAGCAAGCAAGCAAGCAGAGCAGACGCCTGTAGGCTCCCTACCCAGACAGCGAGACAGGACAGACTCGGGGGACGGCCCTTTCATCCAGACACCACCCCTCCTAGGCGGAACAGCACGGTTTGCAGGAGCTGCAGCTCCTGGCTGAGTGAGGTGGAAACCTTCATCCAGAACGCTGGGGCAGCTTCCGTGCCACGGGCCCGAGTGAGGGCGAGACGAGCCCAGCCGTAGTTCATTCAGCAAACACTCTCAGGGCCCCTGCCTTGTACTAGGAACCGTGGATACGGCCGCAAACCCCAGCAGGAAGCTGACCCGCCTCTGAGGCCTGGGCTCCGAGACGTATGGAACGTTACACCGGAGCTTTTATTAAGCTCTCATAACGCAGCAACATGTGCTGCGCCACTGAGAGCGAGAGACGACGACGTCCTCCCAGCGGTTCTGGGCAGCTGCGTGGCGAGGGTCGGGGGCCGTGTTTCTCAGGCCTGTTCCAGGGGCCGGTGGGTTTCCGGTCTGCCTCTGGTTTATGTTCCCATCAACGCTCCCGCACATCCTGAATACATGATGTCTAGAATTTCCTCATGGACGGCCGCATTGAGCACATGGCGTGATGCTGAAAAAGAAACCACGTGATAGAGGCTGTCTGGGGACATGATTGCTCAGTTGGGGGCACAGGCCAGACGCAGGGAAGGGACGTGTGTGCTGGTGGCTACCCAGGCGGGGGGCTTTACGGCCGTCCCGGGACCAAGCACGGGGCCCTGACAGTGGTAGCCGGGGTCCCTACCACCACGGAGAACTGCAGAGACAGGACACCAGAGACAAAATCTGCTTTAATGCTCTGTTCTCAGCGTTTCACAGCATGCACGGCCCAAGTGTGAGTAAGAGAAGAAGCCACGATGTCTTGAGAGCCTTTCTCCAATCACAAATATTCAGTGTCTGTCAACACCCCTCAGAGCTTTACATCTCAAAAACAGAGAGGTGTGCAGATTTCTGTAAGCTCATGAGGACTGTATGAACTCTACAAACTCTTCTGAACAGAACAGCTACGTGTCAAGAACCCAGGGAGCCCAGAGATGCTTTGACATTCTTGAGGTTTTATTAAAGCTGGTTTTTGCTACATTCAACACTTGTTCTCTGAGGACCGCAGTTGTCTAAAGGGAGAGACGGCCCGGCCTCCTGCAGATTTGGAAGTAGAGCTCGCGGTGGGTGTTGTGGCCAGGCAGGGGGAGCTGTGCGGGCTGGGTCTCCCCCACACCCATCCGCCCACGTGCCTGCCACCGGCAGTGGCCGTTGGCTCAGAGGCAGCGGCGCGACTGCTGTGAGCACAGACCTCAGCCGCAGGCATTCCCCAAGACTCGGGCAGATCCCGCCCCGGCCTGGCTGGACGCACTGGGTCCAGGCTGCCTGGTGGTCTCTCCCCTCCGGGGCAGCAGCCCGGCTGACCACTCCCCGAGGGCACCGCAGGTGCAGAAAGGCACGCTTGTGACACGAGGTCTCGGCACACATGAGGTAGGTGCAGGCGGTGAGGTCTAGAACGACATCAGCCTCCATGCCAGGCCATGGGTCCTGCCCCGCCAGGCAGACGGTGGGACAACGGGCCCTGGCACGGTCGTGGCTCACACAGCCGAAGGTTTGGGGCTGGGTTGTTTGGACAACCGTGTGCGTTTTCGCTTGTGTGCAATGTGCTGGGTGGGGGCCTTCCAGACGCTGCAGATGGGCGTTCACGTCAACGTCTGTCACCCGTCAAAGAAATGCTTTTCATGGAAAAAGCTCTTTTTAAGTGTAGTAAAACATACTTTTAAATACATACTTTATGAAACTTCCTGGGAAGTTCGAGGACATTATTGGAAGTGAACTAGGGCCACGGACTTGTAAGCAGCTTAGCGCAAACTCTGCTGGGACCATGCCGCATGGCTGTCCCACGTGAGCCGTCATGGGGTCCAAAGCTGGAAAATGATTTCAGGGGACCATCTAGAGAAACAGAACAACAGTCTGGCAAACGTGGCGAACGGTCATTCAAAAACAGAAATCCTGGAGTCCTGGCACCAGGCTTAGAGACACCATCCTCAGGGCAGGACCCTCCTCACTCCGACCTTGACCTTGCAAGAACATAGGTCTCACAGAGGATGCCATCACTGCTCTCTGCTGTCCCACTTCTGCAGGCGAGTGGCTGACAGCGGGCTCGCACCTCGTCAGGTGAGCAGGGCCTGCACCCCGCCGGTGCCAGCGGCTCTATGGCACATTTTGTAAACAGAGTCATGCAGAATTCTCTTAAAGCAACGGCTATGCGGACACATCTCCAAACTCCAAAGCGGCTATTTCTCGAGGACTGGCCTGCGGGGTCCACACGCCTGTACCGCCGTCCTCTGCAGAGTGAGACGGTCACCCTGACTTCACGACAGGCCAGGCAACTCCCAGCCAGCGAGGTGAGCCCTTGCAGACGCAACACCCACAGCCTGGTCCGCACGGCTCTGTCTAGAAAGGCCTGCGCTTCCCACCCGTGACGACGGGCCGTGCGTATTCCACAAAATCGTCGATCAGGACTGGCCACGCTCCTGCAGGGAGGCAAGCACATGCATCAACACCGGGCAGGGGGCGCCCTCGCCTCCCAGCGCCTTGCCAGCATCCGGCCGACACTCGCACGCCAAAGCCTGGGCTTGGGCCTCACGCGGCTCGTGCACTGCGGGCGTGCTTTCCTCACAAGGCGGGTGGTGGGCACTGCCGTGTGGACACTGGCTGGGGTGGACGGGCCTGCGGCTGGCTGCCATGTGGCTTCGTGTCCCTGTGCGCATGCCTAGCAGAGAGGGCCAGCACCTTGGGGACAGAACATGGGGCAGGAGCTGCCTCCCTGGCTGCCCCAGGGCCTCTGCCACTGGGTCTGTTCTCTGGATGAGCCTCCCTGGCCCCGGCAGAGCTTCCCTGCCCTGTTTTGGCCTCGCCTCCCTGACCTCGGTCTCCCCCCTCCACCTCTCTCGGCCTCCCCTCCCTGATCTCAGCCTCGCCTCCATGACCTTGGCCTCGCCTCCCCGACCTTGGCCTCGCCTGCTTCCCTGACCGTGGCCATGGCTCCGGCGGCTGTGCCTGTGTCGGTCCCGTGGGCCTGCGTTGCTCAGCCGGGGCCGCGGGCCTGTGCGGAGGACGCCGAGAAACGTGCCGGGACCCCGCGGGGGGCAGCCTGCAACCGCCGCTCTCGGAGCAAGGCGACCGGGGCCCAGAGGCGGCTGCGGCCTGGCGGGCTTGGGGGGCAGCGGGGCCTCGGGCCGTGTCTCTCCTCGCGTGGCGGTGTCCCGGTGCACAGCAGGTATGCTCTGAGAGGCATCCTAAGCACGGGGAACTGCAGTGTAGACGCATCTATGTGAGCGGATGCCCCAAGTAAGCCGAAGCGGCACATGGAAGGGCCCGCGGAGGTGCCGGGCTGAGCGGCTAGGCTCGAGGCCCTGTTTTCCTTTGTGTGACTTCAGCGAGGGGGACTATCTCCGCCCATCCCAGTGAAGGTCGCCAGAGTACACTGCTGTGGCGAGTCGTCTCCGCCAGGCAGGAACAGCCCACCCCCTCAGGCAAGCGCTGCTGTGACCGCCGGAGGCAGCCCCCTTCCAGTACCTTCCTCGTCGTAGTTGGACATGTCATCTGCAATCATGTTTCCAAAATCCAGCAGGAGGTTCCACGTGTCTCTGGGGATCGACCTTTTGTGATGTTCCTAGCAAGAGAGGAGACCCGCCAGGCTGAGGGCACGACGCCTCACGTGTGCTTTCGGGGGCTCTCGACCTCCACCTGGCGGGGGGCGCTGATGGCATCGGGAGAGGGCACAGCGACACAGCTCTCAGCGGGAAGGGGCACCGCCCTTGACATGGCGTTAAGAGCTGCAACAACCTCGACGCCCAGATGCAGAAAGCGGCCTTTAAAGGCGGAGGAAACGGGGCCGACATTAAGAGGACAGGCTCCGGCTTCCGTCGAATGGAGGGCGGCCTCCCGGTCTCGCTCCCTGCCCATCGGACCCACTCGGCCAGCCAGGGCAGCCGGCAGTGGTGGCCCTCCCCGTTGCTCCTTGTGCGTCCCTTTTCTGCACGCTGGGCTGCTCCTGCAGCGGGATGGACGGTTCTCTAAAAGCATCTTCGTTCAGCCTTTTGGCACCCCCTGAGCCTGGGATGTCAGAGTGCCTGTGCATGCCATCCAGCGGGGGCCAGGGAAACACTGGTCCTCAGTCCACTCCGTCTCTGACTGCGACAGAGGTGCTGGTCCCTGCACGCAGCGTGCACTCCTCGTACGCCAAACACACGTTTCACACATGTGTAGTCATGACAGCTTCTAGGCTTGTCCTGTGATCTCAAGCATTATTAGACTGGGCTCAGGGGCTCATGCCTGTCATCCCGGCACTTTGGGAGGCTGAGGTGAGAGGACTGCCTGAGCCCATGTTGAGACCAGCCTGGGCAGCTTGGCGAGACCCCATCTCTACAATAAATTGAGGAAAATTAGCCGGGCCTGGTGGCATACACCTGTGGTTCCAGCTACTTGGAAGGCTGAGGTGGAAGGACTGTCTGAGCCCAGCAGGTTGAGGCTGTGGTGGCTGTGGGCGACAGAGTGAGACCTCAACTCAAACAAAACAAAAACAAACAAAAAACCCCCACAAAAACCACCCACTGTTTGCTGCTACCAAGTTACACACGGTTTCCGTGGCCTGCTCTTCCCCACCCGATGCTGGTGAGTGAGTCCAGATCTGCCGCCTCGTGGTGCCGGGCTGTGCTGTGTCCATGCTGGGCGCACCCTCACCACCCGCCATCCCGGAATGTCTGGGATGGAGGTCTGACCCCAGTGGAGGCAGAGCCAGGCACAGGACTGTGAACCCCTGACAATCTAGAGAAGGAACCCAGCACTGTTGTGCCCGGGGCACCATAGGCTGGCAGGATCCAATGATGCCTTCGTGGTGTCCCCATCCCCCACGCCCGGGAGCCCAATTACTAGGTGAGGAAACTGAGGCACGTGGAGGCGCCTTGCCCAAGGCCACACAGCGGGCATGTAGCAGACAAGGGATGCATCACCGGGCTTGATGGGTCGAGGTGGTGGGGGGTCCTGGCAGGCATGGTTCGTGCGCACGGAGGGCCGCTTCTCTCCCTTTTGGGGGCAGATGGTGAGGGGCCTGGGGGTCTCTGCTCTGGGGTGGACACACCTCTGTCCCTTCCCGTCCCGAGTCCCCAGTTCCGTCTGCTGCCTCCCACGGCCACACTGTCTCCCTGGCCCACGAAGGCCCCTTCCTTCTAAGCGCTGCAGGACACGCCTGGGAGGGTCTGGAGCAAGGCCATTCCCGGGCCAGGCACGACAGGGTGCAGCTGCCGCTCGGAGCCCCAGCCCAGGAGGGGCGGCCTGCACTCCACAGGCTGGAGCCTGTCGGGGTGGACCAGCCGGCGCCGGTGGACCCCGGGGCCGCGCCAGCCCCCACAGCTTCCACACATGCGATGGCAGTCAGACCGTCAAGTGCAGCTCAAGCCGCCGGCCTCCCTCCCGCTGGACACACACGACGAGGAGGACACTCACCAGCAAGAACGTGTTCCAAAGGTCCAGGAACTTAAACCTTCCAGATAACACCAGCTTCCAATACGCCACAGCCATGTCTAAGTCTGGCAAAGAGAGAAAGAGCCGCGAGTGAGCCCCTGTCTCTCGCTCTGCACACGGAAACGAACACTTCTCAGCACCCCGACGGGCACGTGGGTGACAGAGGGGGCGTGCCCACCCGGACTGCGAGAGGTCTGGCCTCTACAGAGGTGCTCCTGGAAACCGCGTGCAGCCTGATTTCACGCATCGGGGGCAATGGGTCTTGAAAGGGAGTTGTGTGTTCAGCTAATTGACCTGCAAGTCATCATCCCCAATGAATCCGTTTTGGAGGCTTGCGTTTCCATCTGCATTGGGCATTCCTTCCTTCCTTCCTTTCTCTCTCTCTCTCTCTCTCTCGTCAGGGTCTCCCGCTGTCACCCAGGCTGGAATGCAGTGGCACGATCATGGCTCACTGTAGCTTTGACCTCCTAGGCTCAAGCAATCCTCTTGCTAGTTTCCTGAGCAGCCAGGACGACAGACATGCGCCACCACGCCCAACCACCTTTTCTGCTTTTTTGGAGAGACGAGGTTGGGCTATGTTGCCTGGGATCAAGCAGTCCTCCCAGCTTGGCCTCCCAAAGTGTTGGGATGACAGGCGGGAGCCACTGTAAATTGGGCTTTCTTTAACCCTGACCTGAACTGGATACTGTGAATGCATATCGCTTGGTTTTGAAAACAGGCCACTGCCTTTCTGGGCGGCAGGTCTCCCATCCAAGGGTTCGCCAGGAGCAGCCCTGCTTAGCTTCCCAGCCTGTGGCGCCTCCTGCGCCTGCGCGCCATGACGCCACTGCCGAGGCCACTGCCTTTCTAAGTGATGCTTGCAATTCAGGCGACTGGCAGAGAAAGGAAGGCACACCGCTCTCCTGAGAGACCAGCCTGGGAACCGCATGGCCTCAAACGGCAGGGAATTCGCAAGGAAAGACACCCAGGCCTGTAGGGACGCAGGATTCTAGCGGCACAGTCAAGACACGTCAGCATGAAGGAGGGAAGCCTTCTCCTGAGACGGACGGGGCACGTGCAAACCCAGATGCTCAGCAGGCAAAGCCAGCTGCCCGCTTTCCCATGACGGAAAGGCGGTGGCGATTTCACGGCTCTCACAAGCCTGTGTGTCCCACTCCACCCGAACAAGATGTCCATGGCAGCGTGGGGCTGAGTTCTAGGGCTGTGTCAGTCGTAGGGCTCCTCCTCCCACCCGTGACCATCCAGGGAACGTCAGTGCTGCGTGTGGGGCTCCAGCGGGAGAACAGCATCTCCCACCCGTAACTGCCGGCACACCGCCCTAGCGCCCGTCGGCCCCAAGCTGACCGTTTCCTTGCTAGGCGAAACAGAGCAAGTGTAGAGAGGGGCTGAGAAGGCGACCTCTTTTCACCTCGTTGAACAGTGCTCACCACTCTTAGGCAAGGAAGAAACAGTATATGGAAGCAATTCCTCATTACGCTTTTCTGGATGAGGGGTCCCACGAAAACCGGAGTTGTTATCTAGAGAGTGGGCCCCTTTTAGGACAGGCTTCCCCCGCAGGTAAATGCATTTTTTTTTTTTTTGAGTTGGAGTCTCACTCTGTCGCCCAGGCTGGAGTGCAGCGGCATGCTCACGGCCACTGCAGCCTCAGCCTGCTGGGCTCAGGTGATCCTGCTGCCTCAGCCTTTCAAATAGCTGGAAACACAGGTGTGTGCCACCGCACCCAGCTAATTTTTTGATTTATTGTAGAGACGAGGTCTTGTCATGTTGTCCAGGCTGCTCTTGAATCTGTGGGCTCAGGCAATCCTCTTGCCTCAGCCTCCCAAAGTGTTGGGATTACAGGCTGAGTCACCGTGCCTGGCGAGGTAAGTATTCTAGGAACCTACTGGCATTTGTGTCCAGTCAGTGTTGTTGTGAGAGGTTGCGTTCAGCTTCAGTGAAGTTTTTTTGGGAGCCTCTTTCCAGGCGTTTGCCCATTTCATGATGGGTGATTGACACGAACAACTCGCCCCCACTCGGTGCTGAGTGTTCTGCAGTTGTTGGCCAAAACAGCACGGCACCCTGCCCACCTTCCCTCTCTACCCACTCTCACCCCGAACAACTGTTTTCTGTTTCTTTAGGGAAAAAAGTTCTCAGAGGGAAACACTTTGCCAACGTGGAAGAGGTGAAACAAAAAACAGCGGAAGCACTGAATGGCATCCACACTGACGAGCTCAAAACTGTTTTGAGCGGTGGGAAAAGCATCTCAGCAGGTGTATCGCATCAGACGGAGGAGAGCACTCGAAGGTGACTGAAGTTTAAACACGTAAAGATAAATACACAAGTTTTACAAATAAATTCCAGTTTTGGGGGGTCTTCCCTCATGTGTCAGATAAACTAACGTGAAAAGCAGATTAACGAGTATATTAAGGTAACAGATTACTTTAAATGCAAAATGCCCAACCAAACACTTTTTGAAAGACTTTCATCTAAACCTGGTTCAATTCCACTTGATCAAAGTTACTAAAGTCGGAGTTCTAACTTGAGGTTTCTGGGATTAGTTATGAATACAACCCGGAAAGTGAGAGGTAGACAAGAAGCTGCCCACTTTAAGTAAAACGCCTCCACAATCTATGTTTAATGGGCTCATCACAGACTTCTCTGTTTTTTTTTTTTTTTT